GAGCTGATCCCAGAATTCCTCATTAACTGCCCAGCGGGAAGGATCAGAGCTGCTTGCTGCATCGCATAGTGTGCTCAGCCCAATGAGATAAGACCCAGAGGAGCACAGTGCTGGGCCATCAGGGGCAAGCCAGGGCTGCTCATTATATCTAACTCATCCTTGGCATCTCTGCAAACCAAGTGCCACTTAGTTCCCACAGGAGGGGTCCAGGTTGGATCACTGAGGAGTTGGCAGGGCAAACTGCAGAACAGTATCAGGAAAGACTATACAACAGAAGTCATGTGTGGACAGAGGCCAGCACTTCCTGTGTATCTCAGGCAGGAATATATGGGGGGGGGGGGTTGTATGTATTTTGTTTAAATAATAATATAATTACATACACATTTGGAGTGTGATTACAATTAATAATATATCAAATAACAAAAGTAAGAAAGTAGAAGTAGTAATAGTTTAAAATATAATAAAAGGGAAATATAACTTGTATTTTATGTGAAAATTACCTTCACTGTCATTGTATTTAACCAATGGACTTACAAAGTGTAAACATAAAACACTATAATTATGGTTACAGTGGAGCCAACCATGCCAAAATTCAAAAATGAACATATTTATTTGAAAAAACAAATGCATGCATGAAATCCAGTCAATTTTGTAATGGAATATCAAAAATAAAACTCACTGCTGTCATTTAGCTTGTGGGGCAAGTACAAATACATAACTCAATGAATAAACATACAGTTTTAGTAAAACGTGCAGTTTCACTTATCAACCCCATTTCTGGGATAAATGAATGCTGCCCAGCACAGCAGGTGAATTATGCAAGTGCAGAGTCTAAGGTCTCTGGCTAAGGACCATTGTCCTTCATTTACCTCTACTTTTCAATTCAAAACTCAGGGGATGAGGCAAAGCCGAGCGACACAACCTATGTATGTGGCGTTTTCCACAGCAGTCACAATTAGCCTCAGAGAATGGCACACCGCCAGCCGACTCTGGACTCAATGGATCCAAAACACTTCTGGTAAACACAACAATAAGCTAAGAAGCAGAAATTAGAAAATGTTTTGTGGTGCAACACAGTTGCTATAGAGACTGTTGCTAATTAACTACACTCTACCCCATGATAACAAAGGGCTTAAGGGCACTCAGGGCGGCTCCTCTTGTGATGAGCTCGCTGTATTGAGCACTATGCCTTCCCCAGAGTGTGTCACCTACAAAATACCTGTCTCCTTGTAGACAACTTCCAGCACAGATGCCATAAGAATGTGTTTTGTGTCATCATCTCTGAGTGTTATATATGGTTCACTTCATCCTTGGTTAACCACCATCAGTTGTTAACAAAATTCTTTAAAAACAAATCACTACAAGACAGGTTTTTTTTAGCTTGTAGGACTTGTTTAACACTGATGTCATTTTACAGAGTTCTACAGTTAGTTCTACTGATAGAAAATTCATACTATACTCAAAAGCTGCATACAATATTGTGTTAGTATTATGTTTTTAAATTGATAAATTCTGTTTGTTTATAATGAATTGTTATATTTTCTAAGGTGCAGTAAAATAACTGAATAATGGGTAAAAAAGAAAAAATATCACAAATAGGTATTTTTCAAACAGGCCATACACGTTGAACTTACATGTGCAAGATTTCAAACATTCTTCAAAATTGTTCCAACAATGTGTTTTCTTTTTACCTCTAAAGTGGTCACATTTATAGCCATTAAAAAATATATGATAAACTACCATTGGGATTTTTCTGGTTATTTTATAGGTCCTCGTACATTGTTACTTTCAGTATTACTGACTGCTGTTTTTTGGTGTGCAAATAAAAAAGATACACCTGTGACATAATAAGCTAAGTCTTTTGGACCTTGTAAGACTGGCATTGACAGAGAAAATCTACATTATTATTCAAAGCTGTTCTGTCAAAATGAACTGCAAACGCAGCTCTGTAGAAGAAAATGTCACCAATATTATAAACATAAGGCATTATTTCAATACCTTAACTCATGTTATGTTATTAAACCTATATTTGTTTTCTACCATACAGTTTTAACTCCAGACGCCAAGACAGAGGACTGTGCTCTAAGGAGAGAGTATGTAACCGGATACAGAACACATCTGACAGGATGTCTATACTGCCTCAGAGTTGAAAATGTACTCAACACAACAGAAGAGCATACGTTTTTTGTGATTCATTTTCTTTTTTTTTAAGTTAATTTATGAGGATGCACTTTTGCACCAATCATCCCTTTGAGTGTAGGACATTATTGGGAAGATTTTACACCATATGCTGTTTTGTGTGAATAACCTTCTAAAAAAAGGCTAAATATTTACATCGTATTGGGAATATCCAGTGTGTAACCACCAGCTGTGTGGTTCATTTCTAATTCAGAACAATAATTGGTCATGATTTAAACCACAGCAGTGGAGCAGGGTCTCAGGCAATGTGGTCTGTATGGAGACCAGAAAATTTGGAGCCGGAGAACATGGGCAGGGTCCCATTCACCGTGCTCACATCTTTGAAGTGGCAAGTGAGGGTTTTTGCTCCAACGACTAGAATTTACATTTTGTTTGGCTGGAGAGGTCACACAACAGCTGCAAGCACAGGCTCTGTGGGGCTTTCTGCTTTCACTTGACACTGACAGGCTGCAAGACAGTCCAAAACCACGCAGAGAAAATATTCTCTCTTTCCATGACATCACCCAGCCAGGAATTGGGGAAAATGGTGGGAGGAGAGGGGGCACAGCTGGTGGCAGTCGTGGTACCATCTGCTACCGACTAATAGTTCATGCTGCTTCACTTATAAAGTTGCACTTCTGTTAAATAGAATAGTAGTTGTATGAAAAATAAAAAATGCCTGTCTGCCAGTAGTTATTTACTCTAGGTAATCCTGTAATAATCCCTTTTTATAAATGATGTCCATTTTTGTATTTTAATTTTTCTTTTTCAGATTTGCAGTGAGTGACCATGAAGATTGTAGATGTCTTAAAAAATGGTTGTTTTTTTTTTATTTTCCATGGTTAAAATTGAGACAACAAACAGTAAAAAACCATGAGACAACATACTACACACAACATAATTTAAAATGTTCCTCCTCTACTCACCATACATCTTTCCCTCATCTGAGAGGATGATTTTCCTGCGACCACATGGAGGATAGATTGCCAACGCTTCTTGGAAGCTCTGCTCGATGTCAGGACTCCACACTCCTTCAGCATCATTGTCTACGGGCTTGTCTGCCGAGTCGCTCATCCTCTCCAGGTCCTCGGCAGGACTCTCGCTGCCGCTCCAGCTGCTGGGATCAATGGTGGCGGTTGAGTCTCCAAGCTAAAGCCTGGAGCCGACTAAGGAGAGACCTGTAATTCCCAAATAGACACATGCATCCAGGCTGTTACCATGTGCAGAAAAAAAATTAAGGAAATAATGATAATGACGACGAGCAGGTCAACATAGTCGGAATCATCAGTTACTGCTGCTGATCTCATTTAAACCAAGAAAGTAACATGATCCTAATCCTCTTCTGTAATAACAGAGCAAGGAAAAAATCATATTTGATGATTATAAATGTATTACAATTTTGATAAATGTAGGATTTCCAAACCAGTGATCTCCTGATGACAATACCGGATGATTACTTATAAAACCACTCCAGAATTTAAAAAAGAATCATAAAGAGATTAGGTGCTCCCTCTATGACCTTTCACTAAAATCAATTTACAGCTCAACTGAAGATTTGTTCATTTCAATGCCTTTGTTCTCCGTTTTCACAGGCTGCAAAAAGTGTGAAAGAACAATTCTCCCAAAAGTTGCTAATTTGTCCTAGAGCTAAAAGAGTTTTGAAGGACAGTGTTTGCCACACCCACATCCTCACCATTGCACTACACTATTATGGGCGTTTTATAAAGGAGAATTACATAAAACTAACCTTATAGTTAGTCCTTTCTATGGCACTATTAATGAAATAAACACCAAATACCTATTATTGTAACACAGTTTAAAAAAGCTTACACTGCTGTTGTGCTGTGACACGGACAAAGCTACTAATGATACCAATTTTCTCTGATCAGACACCAGCAGAGTACACAGTGGTTTTAAAATAAAAACTGAAGCTGTTGCCTGTGACGCAGACCAGGGTACAAAACAGAAAATCTTCTTAAAACAGGTAAAGATATGGAATTATTAGCATGTGTTGTGGAATATTTTTGCTGAACAACTTTCCATTCCATCGCTACAGTAGGCTGTTGACATTATTCATTATCTAATAGTTAGACAACTTTGTGTGTCATAAAAACATCAACAACATAAACAACATAAAAAAGAAACTAAAATAATTGACAGCAGCCAACGACAAGAACCACAATGTGTGAATCAGTCTGCAGCTAACAAATATAGAACCTTCAGTTAGTCTTTGAGTTGCCCCCTGGCCATGGGTTTGAGATCCCTGTCTTACAATATTGGTAAGATGAATTCTTCTGATGGTTGTGCTTTGAGGGCCAAAAAAAATATTTGTTTACTGCAATCTTAAAGGTGTGAGTATAAATCTACATGGTCAGTGCTACCAGAAAACTCTCTGAGCGGGCGGCTGGGTGTTACGTTAGGCCTTGCGCCTTTTTCCATACACTTGAAAGGACACAATTATATATTGGCCCATGGCAAATGTTCCTGAGTGCATTGCAGCTCTGTGGCTGAAAATATCCAGAGTGCACAGTGAATGAAGGACTCCAGCTGTTGCTGTTGGCATGCTGCTGTTCTGCTGTCACTGCAAAGGCAATTTAAACTACACGAGACATAAGGTGACAATTCCACTCTTCTGGTGTAAAATTAAACTGCCCTGACACAAAGCTTTACTTGCACTCAACTCTGAGTAGCACTCCTACTGTCCCTGTAGTTTTCAATTCATCAAGTCAGGACCAGACACAAAGAGGCTACAATTTCAACATTAAGTAATCTACACAGTTCCTGTGAAGCTGCAAGTGGATATTGTCTTGAACATTGACTTTCTATTTAAAATAAACAGCAGCTTAATATTTGACTTCTAACAAAATACATTATTAATTACTCTCAGCTTTGTGTAGACAACTGCTGCCTGGCTGAGCAAAATCATATTCAAGCAACAAAAGCTGTTAGGAAGTGGGAATGGTGGCATATGTTTCTTCCAGCAATGTCAGTTCATCAGAGGAAAGGGGGGTGGAGCAAGCTGTTGGGGAAAAAAGCCCAGAAAGCAAAGAGTTTTCACTGAATTCTGTTTTTGTGTGGTAACTGCTGACACTGCAGAACTAACTCACAAACTGATGCGGGAGGAGGGAACAAAAATCCCATTTCAACCACTAAAAGACTGAAATTCGCACTCCTCTCATCCCAACCCGATGATGAACTGCGCTGGTAATCACTTCCAGCTTGTGCTTTCACAGCAAGACAAGGTTCTGGGAAAAATAAAACCCCCATCACATCCAAACAATGAATTTGAGAGGGTTTTTAAAAATTGTAAAATGACATGACCTCACAGAGATATCTTGGTGTTTTCCAATGCAAGTTTTTTAACATGTTCACAAAACAAACATGTCTCTATTACTACGTTTAACATTAGAGGTAGGAATGCATTTGAATTGGAATTCAAAGTACATTAAAGCAATCTACATTTATTGGACAATGTGAGATAGAATTTGTGAACTAGTGCCAATAAAGCCAGGTCACCAGAACCAGACCACTGAACCAACTGTTTCATATTCACCGTTCACCTTCACACAAACATTTATTGATGTATGGCCCAGAATTCCCCTTAAATCAAATGTGTTAAATTCCATCCTATTATGCAGTAAAGAATGTAACAATGTAATTAAATGAAAAGACCCTGTTTGTTTTTAAAGGTTATTCCACCTGCAACAATCTGTGCCGATGTCTTTTCGTTTCAATAAATATGTGAATTTAATAAACTGCAAAGTAACATAAATCACAAACTGTGAGGAGCTTATAATAACATGAATACATTTCTGACTGAAGTATATAAAGGACTGAGTGATACAATTTCCACAGGCAAACTATTTCTACAAAATGTAGATCTTAAATGATAATGATGTAAATGATAAAGTTGGCAAATATTTAAATGCATGGATTATCTGTGAAAAAACTAAACTACTAAACTACACTTCAAGTACAATATGACATGTTTATTAAATAAAGCAAACACCAATTAGACAGAACTATCGCCAGTCATGGAATAGGATGAAATGACACCAGAATTAAAATTTAAATAAACATCCATCTGATAACACACTCTCTAGACTGAAATTACATGTTTTGTATATAGTATATAATATATAACAGGATTTAATTTTTGTTTTAGAAAAGGTCAAGTAATTAAACCTGACTTTAACAGATGCAGGAAACCTGTACCTTAACCAGATTTTCAGAATTTTTTTTGTCCAGTACAAATTATGAACAGGTTCGCAGCACTGCCAGAAGAGAAGGTCTCTCCGTGCCTTAGAATCTGCAGACTAATTATGTTGGTCAAAAGAATGTATGAATGTCAGCCATGGACACACTTGCAGCAGAACAGGTAATTGCATATTTCTGTCTTTGGGCCGTACACCATAGAAATTGACTTATTTGTGAAAAGCAGGGTAAGGATAGTCTACACTGAAATACATGAATGCGGTAGCTAAGCAGAGGAGTAGCTGTGACATGGCATAATGGGAAATTACACTTACTGTGAGATTACATAAATCACTCAGCAAGCAGGAATCCAGCTCCTTAAATTAAGAGAACCTATTTCACCCATCAGAGAGAGCAAGGTAATGAAATAACAGATGAGAGGTCTCAAATGTAATTTTCCATGTGGAGTTCTTTTGTGCCATTATCACAGTGGGTGCAATAATGATGCTGTGAATGACTTTTGTGCACCCTATAATGGCCCACAGTAGTTAGGGCCACCGTGTGTAAAACTATAATTACCGTGTGATTTCAAAACTCAACGTTTTCAGCCTTTTACAAAGCCAGATGCTGGCTTTGCATAATTACTACAGCCATGTCAAAAGTATTCTGTTTTGATCAACAGGTAACTATGAACATTTACAATACCAGGCATTTCTCAAATTCCATTTATTTTCTGTGATTAAAACACATTAATTACCTTGGTAAAAAATTGGTTTACAAAATTAAGTCTTTGACAGCAGGTGTTTGAGGACCTTGATGGTTACAAAAAAAAAAACCCACAAAAAATAAAACATTTGCAAATCTATGAGATACTTTTGAGATTTAAAAAAAAAACATTTACTCCTCAAGGTAAAGCTAAGGTATGCAGCTTCTATTTGAATTCAATTAAAATAAAAAAAGCAGTGAAGAAACATGAGCCTTTAATTAAAAACAACTTTAAAGCACACACTTAACCTGCTGCTATTCCATTTATAAAAGAAAAAATGTAGACTATGGGAAACATTTAAATGACCACAATAATTTTCATACTGATTTGCGCATCGTCAAACTAGGCAAGAACTCTCTGGACAAAATAACTGATTAAATATTAAAAGATGCTCAGAGACTGTATGCATACATACAAATTACACACATGGGAATAACCTCACAATTGGTTTATTGATACATGTAAAAAAAAAAAAAAAAAAAACCTACCAAGCTTAGAAGAACCTTAATGATGCTTTTCTTTATTGACCATGGTCTGGTGTTTATTTCATGCTTCTTTGAACTGACAGGCTTAGGTGCCATGAATCTGTCTGATATCATCCCACTCAAATCTGAGGCCTGGGTCCCAACACACAGCAAGCATCAGTCCGCTGTGTGATCAATCTTTGTTTGCCAGGGAACGGGATTGATTTACAGGCTGTGTCAACTTGCTTTAGACTGAGAAACAGGTAGCAACAACATGACCTGGACAGTATCAGATATTTCGGCAGCTGATGAAGAAATGCATCAGCGAAGGACCTCCGCTCAGAACAACGGAGGCAGAATCAAGTGTAATCTAAGAGACAAAAATCTCCACTCCTGTGGATACAATTCAGGCCTTGAAACGCAAAATGCAATGAAAGCATCGGACGACATTTGCCTATCAAAAAAATTTGCAGCACATTCCAGACAGCATACACCCTCGGCGTGTCACAGTGGCGTGTAGTGGGAGCGGAACACATAAAGCTCAGGAAATTAAAGCTGTAAATAAAGGTCCGTCAGATAAAGGATCTCCTGACAGTTATGAGAGCAGTGCAGGCCGAGGGCTGGCCACAGGCTCATTCAGGACGCGTGCGGATGGGCATGAAAAATCAAATCACAGTGATGAGCGTGAAGGCCACCATTTGCATTTGTCTCTGCCGATTCAGGTCTACTTCCATCTCTTTTTATCAGCTTCTCT